CAGCAAGTACATGTACCGTATTCGACGTAATAAGCGCCCTGCTCTAATAAGCGCCCACGGCAATATTTGCTAATATATTGGCTAGTGAACAATCTCAATTAGCACCTCTTCCAATTGATTAATATACACAAGACTTATTCATTTGTGTATAATACGCACTCGTATGTTATATGCACCCACCCTTAATTATGGGCAATTGAATCCTGGAAAAATATATCTGTCGTATATAAACATTTCAGGCTGTCAGCATAAACCATGAAATTTATGATCTTTCAACTCAAAATAATATTCTAATAAGAGACCCCTATTTCTAATTTTGAGAACGCCCTTGGCGCTTATTACCTAAAATGCGGTATATGTAAATCGATGAGACTCTGTCGGACACAGATACAAACGACACATAGGCAGGTTAATCAAATATCGGATAACAAACTTAACGAGTATATAATTCCAATGAAGGTTTCACATGTGTATTCTAGCTGAGTAACATGACCCCTGGCTGTTTCTGTGCAAAGTACAGAGGGTCAACAATGATACGATGAGTATCATCCCTTTTCATGTATATTTCGTGTCATGTCAATCTCGTTTGTGAACATGCTAATAGTAACGACAGTCTGGCTGGAGGACACAACAAGAGTGCACACTGACACGAGAAAATGATGTTGGTTACACCCATAATAATGTCGCTTGTGTCACGCTCAGATAGGATCAGATATCCCACATCTTGAGCATGTAGAGAGTAGGGTTTCTTTTTCTCTGCCTCTCTATTCAATTCTGCATGACCTGTCTAATTTATCTACTGCCATCACAAAAACTGAACTGTGAAAATCGTGGGAATATGCATCATAATCATATATCATGAATATACTATGAGCATATCACATACTCTATGTGATAGGCATTGGGGCTAAAACCACACACTTCGTCACACAGCAATAGATGCATCAATAGCAAGCTGGCAAACATCTTCCCGAAGCAAGAGAGTTAACTGACTATAAAAGTCCAGTTTCCACCCTTGCCGAACTAGGCTGGGATTATGGAGTTAGATTTTGGCTGGAATAACGAGTCTATGCATAGTCCTATCAAAATCACGCACCAAAATCGAAATCCGGTTCGTAAACTGTCATGCAAGAGTTTGGTCGATTGCAGGATTTGCAAAGCATGTGCATCGCAAACTCGTTGTCAACAGATATTTTCCAAATCTTTCCATGTTTTTAATCAAGGTGCTCACGTGATTTGATGTACTTCACAAAGTAAGAACCTTTTTATCAAAAAATAGACCTTGATCGTCTTGACTGGGCGCCACCATTTTGTTTGAGGTAAATGCATGTGATACGAGAGGTGGAATCTGATTGGTCCATATGGGAGAGGCATAGAATAAACCTAACTCATAACAGTAAAAAACCCACTGGTGGCGCTATGATCGAGCCCAGAAATTCCAGCCTAGTTCGGCAAAGGGTGGAAACTGGACTTGTAAAGTCAGTTAACATTCTTGCCTCGGGAAAATGTGTGGCAAAATGCATGAAAACTTGCCACTTGACATATTAAGCGAGTGAGTGAGTTGGGCTTTGAACTGCTTAACTATTTCAAAGGTATCACAGTGTGTCAGCTTGATGTGAGAGGAAAGCCGGTTTGCTGCTGATAGATCTAGCAATAAAATCAGTGTGAATCGGAGATTCGAAGCGACAATCACAGGTGTCTAACACGCCTAAGGGAGGAATGCAACTCTGCACAGCGAATTGTGGTGCCTTATACGACTGGGTCACACGTGCCTCGTCATATGAAGAAGTCAACAAAACAACAAATTACTTGTCCTTCTGTATCAAGCACAATGGTACTGCCTTGTGTCTATACTTATAAACCTCTTTTCAAGAGGTTCTCTTCCAAACCAAGGTTTTGAAATCTGTCCCTTCTAAACCTGCATTGAGGTTTTACATTTCAACTGAAATACCTAGGTTTTACAATAAACGTTTTATAAACTTGCCCCTTGATATGAACACAATTGTCTTTGATGATTGGTTAATAAAAGCCACAATTTATTTTTACATGAAAATTCCATGATGTGAATCGAACCTGCAACCTCCCATATCGTGTTAAGTTTCTTGTAACGAAATGTTTTCCTACTGAGCTACTGGGGCAGGTGATCAGAAGTTGGTCAATTTTGCGTGTCATGACTCGGGCTGGTCCATGCTGCATGTGTTTTTTCTCTCTCACTCTTTGATTGAAATTACTTTTATACCACGACACACTGTATTGTTTCACTATAAGATATCTTGATATTTTTTCATTATTTTCTGTCATTGCTTGCATTAAGATGGTTTATAAGTGAGAGGGCAAGAGGGCATCGGCTCCTCGGTCTTACATTGCAGATACCCTCTTGCCCCGGTCTTACTGCCTCGACAATAACCTCGGAGTCGTGCCTTATCCTTCACATAACATCATGCTACTATACTCGTATCGTGGCACAAAGTACCGCAATATCGGAGGATTAGTTACAGCTGTGCTAGACATTTCATCAATAAGGAGGAAGCAATTGATATGTACTAAAATATAAGGGTCACATTATCAAATAACATTCTTGCCCCCAAATTCAGATAATAGCAAATTTCGCCTCCACAATGATTACTAATTAATATAATTCACAAATCATTGATAATCTTGTCAAAATAAAAAGCTCAGATTAATGCAAAAATGAATAAGAGATTGCAGAACTTTGCAAAGAATTGATGAAATTTAATTTATCAATGGAATATTAAATGTTTGGCTGTGGAATTCAGCAGGACAGATGATTTAATATTGAACAGTCTTCAAAATTCACAGTAGTCACTCGCCCGCAGAGCATGCTGACAAGTAAAAATCCAATGATGTAGTCCTCAGTGACTAGTAGCTTGAAGGCTTTCATTCTGAACAAGTTCGCAATGCTTCAGTTTGGCTACAAATTGAACTGACATGCTGAATAAAACTGACAGAAAATGAAAACATGGCAAACATTTTTGTCTTGTTCAAGCATGACTAGCTACATACTGAGGACTAGTGAAATAAGACTCTGGACTCCTCCTAAGACTGATTTCTAAGGCTGTTGAACATATTAAACTTCATCAATCAAGTATGATAAGCCTCAGCTATGTTGGCACTAAAAGCACTGTGTTTTGGACTGCCTGAGGAAATCCCTCTACTTAGACCTTATAGTTGGTTAATTTTCATCTTTGCCTGACATTTCTAAATAAACTAAGTCTGAGATTTCATTCGTAAGCTCTGCACTCTCTCACATAACCCATGGGACATAGTTATTCTACCCTGGTGATAAGACACTGTGTTTCCCTAGAAATTGAGGGGATCAATGGCAAGTCTGACAGTAGCAGTTGCATGCTTGGTATAAACATGGGATCGGATGCTTTATTTAAAATACTGAAACTATGTGCCTCTTATAGATTGGGGTAGGGTGATAGTATTCTCTAGTATTCTCTAGTATTCTCTAGTATTCTGGCATTGCATCTTGTGTATTTATATATCAGGAGGGCTGTTTGATAGAAATGGGCATACGGATTCATTATTTTAATCAGAAATTCAGCATTAGCTGTTGGGGCTCTCAAAATCTCTGTCAAATTTGGACTATGACACGGTCCCTTTCAACCATAATTTCTAACAATAATGCTCAAAGGTCAAAATAAGATTAAGAGCATAAAGAGTTTTAGTAAGTATGATTTTATGCTGCTTTTAGCAACATTCCAGCGCAAAAATGAGAGGGGAAACTAGAAATTAGCTTCACACATTGTACCGGCATAACGAGCTGACATTTTAAGCACTTGGCTACCCCACCAACCTTAAAGAGTTTAAAAACAAAATACCTACTCCATCCATTGCGACTTTATTTCTCGGCTGCAAGTAGTACCTAGTCCTGACTTTGAAACATTTCCTATCTGATGATGTCTAACCAACAGAATATCTGATGATGTCTAACCAACAGAATATCTGATGATGTCTAACCAACAGAATATCTGATGATGTTTAACCAACAGAATATCTGATGATGTCTAACCAACAGAATATCTGATGATGTCTAACCAACAGAATATCTGATGATGTCTAACCAACAGAATATCTGATGATGTCTAACCAACAGAAAACCAGAACAATGGATGCAGTGTGTGGGCCCTTAACCACTAACCTGAAGCCCATTCAGGCAAATCAAGCCATTAGATCTGGCCCATATGTAAGTGTAACAACTATTAACAATTATAATAATAAAAATAAAAATAATAATAATGATGATGATGATAATAGTAGCAGTAGTAGTAGTAATAATAATAATAATAATAATAATGATGATAATAGTAATAATAGTAGCAGTAGTAGTAGTAGTAGTAGTAGTAATAATAATAATAATAATAATAATATCCAGAACCAAAAGAGTTTAATTTGAAAGTTGAAGCACATATTTGAAGCTTGACTGTAGATCTGAGGCCCCTTTAAGATGAAGAAGGTGTTCTATAACAGCAGTGATAAGCCATACACGATCTTAAAGTCAAATCTACCCTCTGCTGAATCAATCACAAAGAAAAATATAAATCCTGAGCATAGAATAGAACAGTTTAAGCAAGCAGCAAAACCTCCTGAAACCCATCCCGGCACAAGGCCCATTATCTCTATCTGCCGCCACCAATTTAGACAACATTACAAAGTAGTCCTATTTGGCCTCCAGTGAGGCTTAATCATAATTACAACTCTGCTATTATTAATTTGCAGTTTTATCAACACAAGAAGTTCAAGGTTATCAGCACCAGGGAGATATATGACATTGGATATCTCCGATCTTTGTGTCAAGATGAAAGCTAGACAGCTTCTCGCATGTAAATCATAGTACGAAATCTGAACTTTAGATGCATGATGTATGTAATTATGCTAATTTGAAGTCGACAGCATTAAGGAGACTATAATTAGATCCCATGTCGGTCAGTATGTGCAATCTTCAACATCTCCCACAAAGCCGGATTACTTACAAGTTGTACACCTTGTACTTGTCTTTATGCTTCTCTTCCAGAAATCTGAAACAGAAAATACAATTTGTAATTGAAATTGGATTTAGGGAGAGAGACCAGTAGACCTGGGCCCCGTTCCCCAAAGCTATCTTAGCGCTAAGTCGGTCGTAACTCCCACTCTTTAACACTGACTTACGACAGTCGTAGCACTAAGATCGCTTCGTGGAACGGGTCCCTGGTTGGTATGGTAGGTATGGGAGCAAGACAACTCTGGTGCTGAAGACCTCCAGTTTTGATAAAAGCGACCTTAGCGCTAAGATGATCATAACTCCCATACCATGGACTAACAGTAGTCGTAGTGCTAAGGTGACTTAGTGGAACGGGACCCTGCTTGTTTCTAAGAGTGAGTATTGTTTTGCGCCCCTTTTAGCAATATTCCAGCAATATCATGGCGGGGGACACCGGCAATGGGCTTCACACATATTAACATTAAACCATGTGGGGAATTGAACATGGGTCTTGGGCATGACGAGCGAACGCTTTAACCACTAGGCTACCCAGCTCCCTTGTTTGTAAGAGGTTCCTTTCCACTGTTAACCACATCTATAACCCTGTAACTGGAAACACAAGCAGTCTGTATTAAGGTGGGGCTTAGTTTCATTTCAATCACCCAAAGAAAACAAGCAGAAAGATGAGAAAAACAATTCCTGAAAATGCCTTAAGAATTATTCCTTATTTCCAAAGAATGTTTCATCCCACTCTAAATCCTTGCTAATGATAATGCCTCAATGTTCATAAAAACGTAAACCACCAAATGTATGTTTCTATCAAAGCCTTTTCAAAATATTTCAAGGCCATGATAACTCATTTCATTGGTAAGCAAAACCCAAGTGTATTTTCATACTTTGTGTCCCTGGCTGGATATACATCCCATTACACTATAAAATTATGTGTTTCAGTATTATTTATTGATTAAATTATTGAGTGTGAGGGCTGGTCAAAAGCCTAACAAAACAAAAAAACAATTGTGAAAGTGTTGTTAATTTTATTTTTCAAATTAATTTTCCTGCTTTTCAATACACTTCTTATATCGATAGTGAAGCTTTTCAATTCCAATCAGGAAGAAGTTTTCTGAAACCACCTTGAAATACACATTCATGGCAGCTTTGAGGTCATCGTTGTCATAATAGTGCTTTCAACGAAGGTGTTCTTTCAGTTCAGGAAACAGGTGGAAATCACTTGGTGCCAGGTCTGGCGAGTATGGAGGGTGAGAAAGCTCTTTGAACAAACATTGTCGCACAGCAGCCTTTGCAAGTCGAGAGGTGTAAGAAGAGGCATTGTCATGAAGTAGTAGAACTCCAGCGGTCAGCATTCCTAGACGCTTTTCTTTGAAAGAATCTCTCAAGCAAATAAGCATAGTAGGCACCAGTAATTGTCTTTTGACTTTCAAAGTAATCAACAAGGATCACACCCTTTACATCACAGAATACAGTGGCCATAACTTTCTTCACTGATCTTGAAGACTTGAATTTCATTGGCGCTGGAGAAGTGGAATGGTGCCAGCCATAAACATAGCTGCCCAATGTTTAACAGTGGAATAGCTTGTGGAATAGTGGAATACTCTTGTCACATGTGGTCATGAATGTCTTGGGGGAGCACTTTTCTCTAAAGTAAAAAACTTGATGACTGCTTGGTACTCATACTTTTCCATGTCTGTATCCATTTGGACCCCTATCACGTTCAACTGGCTGTTACTAATATACAAATGTCCTCAGCAGACCAAATACACTTTCAATGAACTACTCAAACAATGTACTACATTGACTAGTTCACTTTGTAATAGCCCATAGTTGAAAGTTAGCCAGGCTTAGAACTTTTTGACCAGCCCTTGTACATTGCTTCATGATCATAATGATGTCATAACTCATTATTTGAGAACAAATAATATTTTTATTTATGTAATAGCAGAGTCAACAATGTGTGCCAAATTTCATTATTTTCATAAAATTGAAGGCTTTTTAAAGGGTAGTTCAAATTCAATATGGGACTGTCAAGTTTAAGGCCTTTTATAAAACCTAAGGCCTTTTCAGGGGTGAGTTTGAGAAAGTTCAGCAAGGGTGGAAACTGGACTTTTACAGTCAGTTAACTCCCTTGCCTTTGGAAGATGGCCGAGGCCATGTGGAGGCAAGTCCCAGTTATCAACATTCATCACATCAACTTTATCATATTAGTCATGCAAATTTGTGACATGACGTAGATAATATCACTGGTATCAATGGTTTGATGTAGTGCATATTATGTAAGCAGCTTGAAGTGGTGTAGGACAAACAACTCCAGCAGTTATAACCACTGATAGGCACAACCACAAAGTGAAGAACAGAACATCATTAAAACATATTACCGCATTTGCCGTAATAAGAGGTTGTTGACGCTTAGAAAATTGACAAACGGGGGCGCACATTAAAAACATACACAAGTTAAATTTGTTTTAAGAGCTCTAGTGATAGTGAATAAACTTAGCTCAAACATAGATGAAACTAAACCTTTTTCGATCATAGTCACTGGGCAAATGCCGCAATTATGTACCCTGTATACACTGCTGTTTTTCTGTAAACAATGTGTAATATACAAAAGAAAATATTGGTGGTCATGTTAAGTTTCGATGTTAGTAGGGGGCTGTCAGAAAGATTAGTTAGCATTTGGTCTACATGTTGGTCCTGGGGGCTCTTATTGGAGCAGAGCGCTTAATACGGTGAATACGGTAATTCTAAGCCAAACATGCCAAATCCACACAAATAATTAAAACATGGTACGTACAAAACAACTAATTTTTGATTGGCTTGTGTTTAACTATTTAATTTCATATTCTATTAGTCATATAATTAAAGAAAATTAATTGTTATTTTTTGTGAGGGAACTACTAGGAACTGGATTAGAAGATATTGTAAAAAATGTTTGAATCGTCATAAACATTATCTATCATGTTTTTTAATGATAAAATAAGCCCTTATCATGCTGCTTGTTGTCCAGGTAAAAATAAAACAATTTATGAAATGATTTGTATCGATACAGAATGAAATGTACAAGATTAATATTGCCTTGCATCTGTGATTTTCCAAGACAGCCAGTCCTGATCTGACGTTAGGTTCGTGGGTGGGCTCTATTTCCAACACTGGTTATCTATACAGCCAGTGCCAAACACTGTCTACCAGTCCCAACTTGACTCTTAGCATCATTTTAGAGTTATTTTATATACTGAGCTGAGCCTACTACACATAACGATATATATTACACCCAGACTAATGGCTAGAGTCTCCTTAGACTGTCTTTATGTCTACATATCAATATCTAAAAGTAAAAGCAATACAGAACAATGTTGTTTGTTTGTTTGTTTGTTGTTGATCGCCTCACACAGCAATATTCCAGCTATATGACGGCGGTCTGTAAATAATCAAGTCTGGACCAGACAATCCAGTGTTTGACATCATGAGCATTGATCCATGCAATTGGGATCGATGACATGTATCAACCAAGTCAGCGAGCCTGACCACCCGATCCCGTTAGTCATCTCTTATGACAAGCATAGTCGCCGAGAACAATGTTCATGACCCAAATCATAAGCAATATATAAACTTTTAATTAAAATATATTTAAATGTCAAAGCAAATGATTCACAAACCATGCAAACTGTGATTACAGCATGTTCAAATAAGTGAGTGAGTATGGTTTTACGCCACTTTTAGCAATATTCCAGCAATATCATGGTGGGGGACACCAGAAATTGGCTTCACACGTTGTACCCATGTCGGCATGTTTAAATAAGGTGTGCATGATGTGATAAACAGTCTGGCGCAGGCTGCAAACATGGGCAGTACTAGGGTTGTGGCAATTCACAGGTACATCGCATATTTGAAGATTGGATACACTACACACCTAATGATGTACTGACTCTTGTTATTATTCTGCAAAGACTTTAAAAAATGTATTGATACAGAACAACATGATTAGGACATAGAAACTTCAACATAAGTAATATATTAATTTGTAAATAACATGATGATACACGTAACATGATTGTGACATAGTGATAATGTAATCAACTTGCTTTTAAACAGACGACTGTCACAATAGCCACTACTCAGAAGCCAGAGTCTAGTAAAAGTCTGTCCAGTCCAGTAAGCTCAGCTAGTCATTCCACATAACACTAAATTCTACTGAAAATGATGCAAAGAGCCATGTTCGGGGAAAGTATTCTCAAAAGTTTTAGGCACATACTGAGTGAGTGAGTTGGGTTTAACACAGCTTTTAACAGTATTCCAGTTATATCACGGCGTGTCAGCTTAATGTGGGAGGAAAGCCCGAAGTGATGCAGGTCTCAGACGTTTACCACTTCGATGAAACCCAGGAGCACAGGTATGGTGCTGACAAACCTAGAAACATAATCGGGGCAAACCGGGATTCGAACCCACAATCATAGGTTACTGGCGTGCCCAAGGGACGCAACTCTGCACAGCGAATCATGACGCCTTAGACGACTGGGCCACCCGTGCCCTCTAGGCACATACTGAAAAGTAATAACTTGATGTGCATGTCATCTCAGGAAACAGGGCTCTGAATCCCCCTTTAGAAAATCAGGATCTGCTTCGGTTGGGTTTTTTGTAAAGTTTTTACAGAAGTTAGATCAAATTCAGAAGATTTTATAGACAAATAACCAGCAGAGCAAAGGTGAAGTGAAGTTAGTTTGGGTTTAACATCACATTCAAGATTGTTGAACTTACATAATGGCGTGCATGTGTTTGTGTGTGCGTTCATGCGTGAGCGAGTTTGCACTTGATTGGACTAATGACTACGAGCAGACCAGTCCTTGTCAAGCAGGTTAGTTGGGTCAGTGAGTATGGTCTTACGCCGCTTTTAGCAATATTCCAGCAATATCACGGCGTGTCACACCAGAAATGGGCTTCATGAGCGAATGCTTTAACCACTAGTCTACCCGACCGCCCATCAAGCAGGGTAGCAACAAGTAACATCTCTTAGTAGGAAGTAGCCCAGAATAATCAAACTTCCACTATGCGGTCAGACGTTCTATCCACTAGAACACAGAGGTGGTCAAGCAGAACAAAAACAAATACCGTATTCGACGTAATAAGCGCCCCGCTCTAATAAGCGCCCACGGCGATATTTGCTGATATATTGGCTAGTGAACAAACCCAATTAGCACCCCTTCCGATTGATCAATGTACACAAGACTTATTTATTCGCGTATAATACGCACTTGTGTGTTATATGCACCCTTTATGGGCAAATAAATTCTGGAAAAATATATCTATGGTATATAAACATTTCAGGCTGGCAGCATACACCACGAACTTTATCTTTTAACTGTTTTTTTTCCACCAAAATAATATTCTAATAAGAGCCCCCTATTTCTAATTTTGAGAGCGCCCTGGGCGCTTATTACGTCGAATACGGTAGTCTTCAAACCCTGGCAAATTAGATCTTCACAGTTTATTAGTCAAGGTACAAATGAACGCTTTTCACCTCAGCATACTCTCACAGCATTGTACAACAACTTAATTTCATATCCAAAAGTGCAAGAAGACCATGAGGACTTACTTGACTACATCATCGATGTTGTTGCGATAGACACCTTCCAAGTTGTCAGCAGGGAAGCCCATTGCTATGATGTTGGGAATAATATCTGGCAAAGTTAAGGCAAATGCAAGACATTGTTTCTATGGTTACAAGACAATTTTGACTTTCTTTGGCTTACAAGTTACATATATCATCATATCATGCATACAGGGAAAAAAATCACATTTCACAACTGTATATCTGACATTAAATACAATTTTCATGTATTCAGTGAGTATTTGAATGTAGTTTGCAACCTATACTTGTTGTAAGAGGTGGCTAACAAAAGGAATGGGCGACAAGCTTACTGACTTGGTTGATTGCTTGTCATTGTATCCCAGTTGCTTGGACCGATGCTCATGATATCAATCACTGGATTGTCTGGTTCAGACCATGTTTACAGATCATATAACAACAAACAAACAAACTTAAGATAAGCATGGGTAACTGGAGACCTACTCTGTCTTGAAATCACAAATGAGGCTGTGATTTTGATTGTTGTGTGACACAGCACTCAACAATATTCCAGCTATATGATGGCTTTCTGTATATAATTGAGTCTGGCCCAGACAATCCAGCGATTGATATCATGAGCATCGATCCACGCAACTGGGATACAATGACATGCCATCAACCAAGTCACCAGACCTGACCACCAGATCCATATGGACCAGCTCTGGTCATAGACGAGTACCTTGTCTTTAAAAACATTGCTTCAAAAAAAGTTGTAGCTATATTTTTTTTCAAAAGAACCTTTCTCATCCGCTGTTTTCATATGTGGAAGCAAGGAAACTTAATTTAGTTTTATCTAGTCTTCCCTAGCCTTTTAGTAAAAAAAATAATTAAAAATATATATGAACAATTTTAATTAATTTTAATATATAATATTCTAGTCATGGTCCATGACTACTGGGACCAATCCTAGCCCACAATCCCCACAGGGCAATATGAACACGAGCAATTAGTTCTAAGAGGACACATTTTCCCACCATTATTCAAGGAAGCCAAACCAACACAGCTTCCCCGTGGGTCTGCCTGAAGCATCCCACCACCACCAGCCCACCTTCAGGGAGGGAGGGCGCGAGGTCCAGCTGGTGTATGTGTTGGCTGTTGTAGATGCTGCAGCTCCTCAGCCATACTGACAAATGTTCCACGACTCCAGGTAATTGACTCAGTGAGTGAGTGGGGTGTAAGCACACTGGCACTGATTTCAACACTACTTATCCCAACCCAACTGTAGTATGGCAGTATCCCATGTGATGCTGAAATTTGCCCATCTTCTAAAATCACCAGCTGCTATGCTGATGGATCAAGTTGTAGTTTCATAGAGTTTCGTAAAGTTTCATCAGTCAAAATTATCTACCTGAAACATGTTAAATGATTTTCCTGATTAACAAAACTTAAGACTTATTTCCAACAGTTACCATGGCAACTACCTGAAAATGAGGTTTCCAGATTAACCATGTTAACAAGGGCCAGAATGGCTACAATAAAATAATTTTAGAGATTTCAATAATTTTAGAGACAGACAGACAGACAGACAGACAGACAGACAAACAGTTCTATTCAGTTGAAGGCCTCCAGCCCAAAATACATACCACAATCTGATCATGCATTTCAGACTTCATTCAAATGAACATTTAAAACATTAGGTGGGAAGATGTTTATCATAAACAAACTAATCAAGGCATCGGTGTACATTAACTGTCAATAGATGTGATTCACATGAAGCAGGAGTGTTTGGCTGGACTGTATATCAAGGTACGAAATTCATCAAGTAAAGAAACGAGGAAACACAGTTTCTTCATCTTCCCGAGGCAAGAGAGTAAGCTGACAATAAAAGTCAAGTTTCCACCAGTATACTTTTTTTTAATGAGTCATCATTGTTCAACTTCCTGATCAACATGCTTACAAAACAATGCAGGTAACAGCCCATACGCCATCATGTGTGTCAAACATTGATAATTCAAAACAGAGAGATGAGGATGGGCGAGTTGGGTAAAACTTGTTTCAATAGGATTTCAGTAATCATTGTGTGTCAGCTTGATGTGGGAGAAAGCCCAAAGTGGTCTTCAGCAGTGAACACTTTGGTGACATCAACAGGGTAATGGTGCTGACTAACCATAGATTTGGTTGGTTGGTTGGTTTGTTGTTTAACGCCGCACTCAGCATTATTCCAGCTACATGACAGTGGTCTGTCAATAATCGAGTCTGGACCAGACAATCCAGTGATTAATATCATGAGCATCGATCCACGCAATTGGGATTGATGACATGCATCAACCAAGTCAGCGAGCCTGACCACCCGATCCCGTTAGTCGCCTTTTACGACAAGCATAGTCACCTTTTACAGCAAGCATGGGTTGCTGAAGACGTATTCTATCCAGGAATCTTCACGGGTCGACTAACCATAATAGAGAGTCTATCTGATATTTGAACATGTGATCAGCGGATCATGACACAAGAAAAAACTGAATCACGGCAATGATTGTACATTTGTATTATTATCATATTGATGCCCGAAAAACTGCCCAGCCATAACAAGCGCCAAAGGAGGTTAGAAAACTGACAGGGGAACAAGAAACTTACTTCAAATGTTGATGAAACCAAAACCTTTTAACTTGAGGTTTTTGCATTTATTTGCAAAAAACCAGAAGCAGTCCTGATACCGCCATTTCCACAAAGCTCAACATGCTCAAAGTCTTACTGTGAGTGAGTATGGTTTTACGCCGCTTTTAGCAATATTCCAGCAATATCACGGCGGGGGACACCAAAAATGGGCTTCACACATTGTACCCATGTCGGGAATTGAACCCGGGTCTTCGGCGTGACGAGCGAACGCTTTAACCACTAGGCTACCCGACCGCCCCTCAAAGTCTTACTGTACTTCCAGTCCAAAAAACATTACTTTCAGACCTTGATTTAAACCAAGATAACATTTGAAGATCCAACAATTACCAACTACAGCTATGTTTCACAATAACCTCAGAGATGACCTTGACCTTTGATTGACATAGCACCAGCATTAGATTTGTAGGTTGGTTGGTTTGTTGTTTAACGCTGCACTCTATATCACGGCAGTCTGTAAATAATCGAGTCTGGACCAGACAATCCAGTGATTGATGTCATGAGCATTGATCCACGCAATTGGGATCGATGACATGTATCAACCAAGTCAGCGAGTCTGACCACCCGATCCTGTTAGTCGCCTCTTACGACAAGCATAGTCGCCTTTTCCGACAAGCATGGGTTGCTGAAGACCTATTCTGCCCTGGATCTTCATGGGTACATTAGATTTGCTTAGATTTGTAAAGATACACGCAACATATAATTTCATGCCTGTAGAGATGTAACCATGCCTCAGAAACTGACAATGATATTTCCATGGTTCACAACAAGCCTTTTCAAAGCAGGGCCCCATCCTTGAGAAAGCATATATATATATATACCAAATATAATGTGGGGATAGAAATTAACCAAGATTTCGATGCACGATTTTGATTGGACTATGCATAAATGCCAAAATGTTACTCCATAATACCAGCCTAGTTCGGCAAGGGTGGAAACTGGACTTTTATAGTCAGTTAACTCCCTTGCCTTCGGAAGATGACCACGATCGTCAAGCTTGCAAATTCCATAAGTACATGGTAGAAATAATATGTCCCAATCAATAGACAACGCTCATCTGACAAAGTCATAGTCCACTGTCAACAGTGTTAAGTGCTTCCTCAAGCAGTCAGTAGGACCAATCAATGCCACTGGTCTCTCTCTCTCTCCCTTGGTCACAGAAAACTAATACCACCATGCCAATACCTAATACCTATCCGAACATCAACTATCAGCATGATCAGAAGGCAGAGTAGCCTTGCTCCAAGGCTGTACTGAATGATAAGTCTGGGGGTGTATAGTAATTCTATCCTCATAATAGGCAAGTCTAGATAAGTGGACAGTACAGCCAGTCTCTTATAGGAATAACTTGTTCTTGTTATTTATATAATCTAGAAACTATGCTTTCAACAAATAATTTTGGCTGAAGTTATAAAGTTTGTGAAGTCCTTTCAGATTTTAATCCATCTGTGACACCTATGCTATCCCACTAGCCGGAAGCAAGTCAAAATCCACAAGGGCTTGTAAAATGCTGGTGAATACTATCATGGTTGTCTTAAAGAAATTTCATTATCACTGACTTCATCTTTTTTATTTACCTTTCCCCCAAAAAATTGATTCTTTTCATCAAGCATGTATTATTGCATGGTTAATTTCATGCTTTTTGCTATTTAAAAAACAAGAAGTTTAAAGACATTAGAGTAATTGACTGCAAAGGTCTAATACGTTTTTTGTATGTAAAGGGGTAGTGTCAGTGGCCAGTACAAGAGTACCCAGCAGTCTTCCACTACCAATTGCCCTCAAATCAGTTATCACTTTCTTCTCTGGGGCTCAAATTACAAGTGCAAGTTAGTTAACAAAATACTGGAAAAATTCCACATTACCTAAGTGAGTAAGCATGGTAGGTGTGTTGGGTTTTCTGCCACTCTTAGGGGACACCAGAAATCAGCTTTATACAATGTGCCTATGTGGGGAGTCGAACCAAGGTCTCAGGTGTAACGAGCCAATGCATTAACCAGGAAGCTACCCAACAGTCAGTCCCACATGAAATTATGTTATTCCTAAAACTTACTTCCAGGCCAATGCTGAGATGGCGGAGAAATGGGGTGTTACGACAAGTTCAATATTGTTGTACTTATATAGCCAAGTACATGCATGCGTGAGGATGTGTGGCTGCTTGTTGGGGCTTACGCCGATGTCATAGTGCAAGTTCACTAAGAAACTATGCTGCAGTCTAACATAGATACCCCGCTCAGACAGAGTATACGGACTCCGAGCCGAACCAGTCCTTGTTTTATCCCCTGAAAGTTGTGGCCAAACAGGGCAACCAATAGTACCATTTGGAAACTTTTGGTATGACACGGCCAGGGGCTTGAACCACGAACCTTTTGCTATCTGGGCAGATGTGCTACATCCATTATCACTACCACTGTTGAACATGTTGAAGAGTTTATTAGCATT